AACATAGATAATATAAAACATATACAAACACAAGATAGATTTTCTTGACACAGGATGAGGGTGGAGGTGGAGGGAGAACTAAAAGCAGAAGGGGATGGAATCAGGGAAGGACTCATATACAAGGTGGTACTTAAGCAAAGTAATGAGTGAAGACAGGGATCCTAAAGCAGAAGTGAGGAAGGAATGTATTCCAGGAATAGGGTGAGGCAGCCATGTAAAGGCATGAAAGATGGAATGAATAGTCAGGAGTGATTTGAGGCACTGAAACTAATCAGGAGGCTATCAAAACAGTCCAAACAAAGAGGTGATAAGGTAGCTGAGTGGTGAAAAGGTGACAAATCTGAGATTCAGCAGAGGCAGAATTGACAAACTTGCCAACTGATTAGGTATGAAATATTAAGGGTAAATGAAGAGATGCAAATGACTGCAAGGCTCTGAACCTGTTTAACTGAAAGGAGGTTAGTGCTCTCAACTGAAAGAGGGAAGTCAGGAAGAGGGCTAGATTTTGGAGGAAAGAATTCTGTTTTAGAAATGTTGAATTTGAGGTTGACTACAGAATACTCAGCGGGCAATGTCCAACAGACAGTTGGTAATGTTGGACTGAAGCTTAGGACAGAAGCCAGGACTAGATATACAGACTTGCAGAGAGGTTACTTAAATCCGTGGAAACTTACGAGAACACCAAGTAAGAGAACGCAGAGTGGGAAAGATAGGTAGAACCTTAAGGTACATCCATAGTTAGAAGGCATATGATGAACCAGAAAAAGAGATCGAGGAGTGGTCAGTCAGGATAGAGATCAATGTCACAAATTCCAGAAAGAAGACCCTGTCTAGAAGGATAGGGTGGCCTATAGTGCTACAGAGGTCAAGAAGGATGAGGATTCAGGAAAACCACTTCATTTGTTTATTCAGGGATCATTGATAATTTTGCACAAGAAGAAATTTTTAGAGCCAGCTATGTGGTGCAGCAGATAGAGGGGTAGATCTGGAGTCAGGAAGTTGTCAGTTTATATCTGACCTTAGATACCACTAGCTATGAGGTGTTAGGTAAACCATCTAACCTTGGTCTTGCTTTCCTTATTCATAAAATGGGGGTAATAGTATCTACTTCAGGATTGTTGTGAGGGTGAAACAAGATATTTGCAAAACTCCTTGCAAACCACATAAAGTTTTACATAAATGCTAGTTATTATTCATTCACTTAATAAACATTTATCATTACGTGCCAGGCTCTAAGTGCTGGGATTACAAAAACAGGCAAAAGATGGTAGGGGAGACAACATGGAAGTAAATATGTACAAAACAACTCATATGTAGGATAAATAGGAAATAACTAAAAAAGGAAAGCATTAAGATGGAAAGTTTCCAGTAAAAGGTGGGATTTTACCTGGGCCTTAAAGAAAGCCAGGGAGGTAGGCAGTCAGATTGAAAAGGGAGAGTGTTCCAAGCAGAGAAAGTGCCAGGCACTGAGAGATGGGGTGTCTTGTTCATGGAACAGTCAGGATGCTAGTGTCATTGGATTGAAGAGTATGTGTCAGAAAGTAAGGTATAAAAAGACTGGAAAGGTAGGAGAGGGCTAGGTTATGATGGGCTTTGAATACTAAACCCTGTATTTTTTATTTGCTCCTGGAGGCAACAGAAAGCCACCAGAGTTTACTGAATAAGGGAATAACATGATCAGACCAGCATTTTTGGAAAATCATTTTAGTGGCTGAATGGAGGATAGACTGGAGTAGGGAGAGACTTAAGGAAAGCAGACCCACAAGCAGACTATTACAGTAATCAAAGTGTGAGGTAATGGAAGCCTGCACTAGAATGGTGGCAGTCTCAGAGGAAGAGAACAGGGAGTATTTGAGAGATGTCACAAAGGTGAGATTGAGGGTGGAAGTCAGACTGTAAGGAGAGGAAGAAGGGGCAGTGAATCTAGACAGCTTTTTCTAGCATTTTGGCTGCATAAGGCAGGAGACCTTTTGGGGAGATCATAGGGACAAGTGAAGAATGAGGGAATGAACATGCTTATAGTTAGCAAGTCACTAGTTAGGAAAAGAATAACAATAAAGAGAGAGAGAGAGAGAGAGAGAGAGAGAGAGAGAGAGAGAGAGAGAGAGAGAGAGAGAGAGAGAGAGAGAGAGAGAGAGAGAGAGAGAGAGAGAGAGAGAGAGATGTAATAATTAAAAAAGGCAATCTGCCAAAGATGGAAAAGGTTATAAGCTGAGTTGGACTTGGTCATTAGAAGGGCCATCTCTTCACTAATGAGAGGAATAAAAGAACAGGAAATGACACCAAAGGATTTTGATATGCAGAGAGGGTAAAAGAGAGCTTGAATTGCCTCTTTTCTGAACAGTATTCTGCTGAGGAGGGTAGAAAAATTTATAGGAAATTTAAGGAGAGAAGAAAACATTTAGAATTAGCTGCTATGAGGAATGTCAGAGTCAGTAAAACATTCTCTTATGGATAAGGGGGTCAGTTAAGATTAGAAAACAAATTTGTAGCCTATTCAGTCAGCATGCTTACATGACTTTCTTTAACACTGTCAAGCAACGTGTGAATTTGAAAAAAGTGGATTTAAGCTCCTTTGAGAGCAGGGAATACTTCAAATCTTTGTATCTGTATCTCTACCCAGGACCCAGAACAGTGCCTGCCACGTACTAGGTGCCTGACACGTAACTGACGTAAGAGATTGGGATTGGTTAGATACAGGATCAAGATTATGAAGGGGGAAAAGAAGCAAGAATAGGGACACTGAGCACGGCACTGAGGAGCAGAGATCAATGTGAGGATGAAGAATAGGTATAGGAGTGTTGCCTAGGAAGAGATAGAATCACAGGAAATTATGTGTAGATAGAGGAGTTTTCTTACAAAAAGTTAACATGAGAACAAGGGTGTGGAGTGTGACTGTTCCTATGCTGGGCTTAGATGGAGTAGAGATTAATGAACTAAGAGGCTAGAGTGTTTGAATACTGAAGTTCTCTAATTTAAGGGTAGGGTAGGCATTTATAAAGTACTTAGGTGCCAGGCAACAGGGATACAATGACAAAAGCATAACAATTTCTAGCTCAAAGGGACTTATATTCTATCAGAGAAGACATACATAAGTTAGTAAATTCAAATAAATACAAGGTAAAATTTGGGGGGTGGGGGTGGAATAAAAGCAGTTTCAGGGATAGGAAAAGATCAGGAAAGATTCCATTCCATGTAGAAAGAAGTGTCTGAGAAGAGCTGTGAACGATACAAACAAAGACTTCTTTGATGTGAAGGTAATGTGGGAGTGCATTCAGTTTTGGACATTTTGAGTTTGAGATGCCCGTGGGATGTCTAGTTTGAAATATCCAACAGGCAATTAGACATACGTGGCTAGAACTCAGAAGATGGTAGAGATAGATATGTAAATATGTCAGTCAGTTAGCATCGAGATGGAAGACCATGAGCCAAGAACTAAATTCTTTGACAAAGGAGAAGATTGAGGGATATAGAGAACTGCCACAAGGTTCAAGTATGAAGAGAGTAAACCTCAAAGGAGAGGTTACCAAGAGATGGCAGCATGAGCAGAAGGGGAGAGTTAGAAGCAGTAACAGGGACCAGTAATTACGTATACTCCTCTTGAATCAGTGTGTCTGCAGACAAGAGAAGGTATATTCAGTGTTGAAAAGACAGTCAAAAATGTTTTCTGTGGGGGAAGGCAAGACTCTGAGTGTAGAAGAGGAAAATCTTGAGAATAATAGCTTGCCAATTATTCTACATATATTCTCAATTTGATCCTAAATGCTCAGAAATCAATTTACTTGCACACGGTCATAGGGCTGTTAACTACTACAACCCATGTCTCTCAATTCCAAGTACCATGTGCTCTTGCCATTAAAAGATACTGCCTCTCTGAAGGGCAAGTTAAGTTTGTTCAATAGGAGCAGCTGCATTTTGGGAAAGACACTGAAGAACTGGACTTTTTTCAGGGGAACTTCAAAGTACAATCCTTACCCTATGAAGCACCTGGGAGTGTTTGGTTTGGTGAAGAAAAAACTTGGGGGCTAGAAAGCCAAAATCATCTTCAAATAGCTGGAAGGTTCTAATGTGGAAGACAATTTAGACTTATTCTGCTTGGTAGAAAACCACTAAGATTAATGGACAAAAGTTATAGGGAAGAAAGCTCTGGCTCAAGACAAATACAAGTTCCTAATGATCAGAACTATTAAAAAAAAAAAGGAATGGCTAGCTTTGGAAGCAATCTTCAAGCAGAGGAGAGTTGATAACCTGTAGAAAATGTTCTAAGAACTGAAAAAACCTGGAACTTGGTGTAGTAGAGAGGAGCTGAAAAAAGCTTTTAAAGTTTAGAAAACCACACTTCTGAGTCTCAGGAAGCTGAGACACAGGTAGACAAAAACGAGAATACAGTTTTTTTAGGCTTGTGCTTAAATGGTAGAGGTTGAACAGGAAAGCAGAATATGGAAGTTTTCTGGATACTCCTGAGTCAAGAGGCAAATAGGTCTAATGCTTAGAACTGCTTTTACTCAAAGAGCAAAAGTGTTCTTTCCAGTAATCTTCACTCAGTGGGTGTGAATTCTGGGATCAAGGGTACCCAAACAAAAACTTGCCTTTGGAGCTAAACATTAAATACATACATACATACGTATGTACATATGTACATGTATGTTCTCGTGTGTGTGTGTGTGTGTGTGTTAAAAATTTAGATTAGTGAGGTGGTTATTATAAATTAACAGAGAACTGACTATACTTATTTTGGAATAATGCTAAATAGCTTATTTAGCAATTACTATTAAGACACTGTTTAAAAAAAAAGATCAGACCTAAATTATATCAATAATAATGAGTAAATCTTATCTGATCAAGTTCTATGCTAATCTATTAACAATACATGATTTGGGATATTCTCTCAATTTCACTTGTCCTTAATAAACAAAACTTAAGCCTTAAAGCTTTCTATAATTAGTATTTCATGCTAACAAACATACCAAAATGTCTACTAATATCAACATAAAACATACCTTGGGTGAAATGATACTCTCCACACTGCTCTCTAAATTACACTCAAACACATGGGCTTTGGTTAGCTTCTTATCCCAATGGGCTGCTAGCCAAATTTTGGCCAGCGGCCCTCTCTTACTCAGGACAAAATGAGCGTAGAACATGGTGCCAGCTGACTAGAAAACCTGTCAAAAAAGACAATTTTAAAAAATCATATATGCCACACAAATGCTGAAACATACACTTCCCTAATCTGATCTTGATGTCAGCAATAGAGATACTTTTTGGGATACATACCAATTCCCCAGTTGACATTTAAAAAGTTACTTCACATCTCAGCTCCAACTTAACTTTACAGATTTATCTTACGTTATTTTCTTTTGTGTACTCTATGTTCTAGCCAAATTTTGGTTCCCCAAATTAAACATTCCATCTCTATCTACCTCAATGCCTTTACATAGGTTGCCTTCTATGACTGGAATGATTTTCTTACTTCTGCCTCTTAGAATTCCTAATTTTCTTCAAAGCTCAGCTCAAATTTTATCTTCCATACAATAGCTAACTTAGATTTGTACATGTTGTCTCCCCCAAAAGAATGTAAGCTCCTTTAGGGCAGGGACTTTCATTTTTTTCCCATTTGCAATCCCTGTGGCTGGTACAGTAGGAGCTTAATAATAGGCCCACTGATTCAGCGATTTCATATTAATAGGGCAGAAGAATCCACCACCTTAAACAGGAAGAGTTTTAAATTTTCAATACAGAATTATTCTCTTCCCCTACTTTCCCCATTAACAAGACACACAAGAATCTCAGAGGAACTTTCCCCATGCTTTATGCTTGAAGTTCATCCAAATTTTATTGCCTATTCATACTCAGATATATGGGGAAACATTTTAGTTTCACCAACTAGAAACAAAATACTACATATGGCAAGTAAATAATGCTCCAGAATAAAAAACATCTCATTTTTCGACTAGTGACTAACCAGAGAGTAAAAATTCATGCCATTCCTCCTCCCCACCAAAATTCAAGCCTGATACAGTAAGAACTCAACTACAAGCTTATTAGAGTCTACCATTCCCCAACTCTGCAAATTTTGAAATTATGGCTTACTGTTCATACCTGACCCAATAACTGCATCAGATGATAAGAGTCAGTCATAGTAGTAAAGCAAAAGCAATAAGAAAACAAGCCAATAAAACATATCAAACACACCATAAAGAAGCCACATAGGAGATAGTTAATCATTTTCCCTTTGGCACATTAATATACCATTTAAAAAGATTAGAAAATTTGGTGTTGAAAATAAATGTTACAGAACACTTCTCACACCAAAACTATGACACACTCCGATTACTTTTAATAGTCTATAGAGTATTATAGTTCCTTTGAGAACAGAAAGTATTTGTGATTCCAGTGACATACTGGTTGACATATACACAGATTTAAAGCTTGACAGAAAAGTCTAGTTATGGATAAGTAGAGTGAGATGCATTTAGGCCACTGAAACCTTTTCAGCACTTAACAGCAAAATGTTTTGAAAACTTTCATTCATTTAAATTGAATGCTCTCACATGATCCTCATTTATTCTAAGGCATTATGCCCCCTAAAAGGAGGCAAAAAGACATTTCCATTCCCAAAGCTGCTTATTTAAAACTGAATATTCATTTTTCCTCCTAATCAATGATTCAAGACACACTAGAGGATTTTGATGCAAGGATTTAAGTAAAATATTCCAGGGTAGGAGCAGTATTTAATAACGACTTCTTACAGTTCCTTTTCCCTCAAGTACTTTTCACATATTTACACCCTACAAGTCAAGAAGCTCACTTGATGACATCCAGTACTAGTGTTACAATTGTTCAAGATTATTATGGTAATTGTTCTAAAGAATATATACACACAAGAGAAAAATGACAAATTCAAATTCCTTTTAGATATCAAAAGATTTTTTTTGAATGATTCACTGTCAGTTATGAACTTACAGAAGCAGACACTTATATAATGGTTATAAGGACTAAAGGTATCTTCTAAAGTTTAGAATCTAAACACTTGAAAAAGTGATGAACTCTACCAGGAGTCAATTAGTTGACCAGCAAATATTCTTAAACATTTTTTGAAAGCTCTGGAAATTGAGCTGTTGGCACCTTCTACCAGGTGTGATTAGCTCATGGTAGCTCTTCAGCTGCTGGTTAGAACTGTGCCTCAAAATAGTCAATCTTCATTCCACCACAGGAACCTAAGTTCCTGAGCAGATGCAACTTCTTGGCAAGAGTAGATAAAGTTGCAGCAGGGAAGCTGGCCTGGAGAGTAATCTGGCAGGTAAAGTCGGCCTGAGGAAAGCATTGGTCTTATTTCAATGTGGCCAACAGTTCCTTCTATTAGCATATGGAATTTAGATTACAGTGCCCTGATAACATTATCACTTGTTTAAAATAATAACAGAAAACTGTTGTCATCTGTACTTTCTAACCAAAAATGTATTACAAACTCCCTAAAAAGATGGTTATATGAATTTAGGACTAAATTTTACTAACTCAAAAAAAAAAGTTAAGCCCTAATTGATTTGGATATCAAAAGGCAATTTAACGTAAAAATAGCAATTAGCATGGTAGAAAATTTAGTTGATGTTTTAGTACATTTTAAGGAATACAGAATATGGCAAAGTTATTTTTCCCATATGACTTCAAAATGCCAGTTAAATTAATTTCTGGATTTCCATGTTGAAGTTAATCAATAATGCTTCACTCCTGTTATTATCAGTATTATTACACATGGAACTCAGAACTCTTTCTAGAAATCCAACAGCAGTGTATGAACAATAATTGATAACGAGCATATATGAGAATTTTAATAAAGTATAGACACTTTAATACAAATATTGAACTTAATTTCAATTAAGTTGTTCTTTTATCAAACTACTTACAGTTTTCAGAGAAAATATCGTTTGGTATACTAAAAAATTTTTGGACTTGCTAGCATTGTTTCTTTTCCACTTGAATGTTTATAATCTAAATAAGTCACAAAGAAGTTGAAGTCATTTCAGGGAATGAAAAACTTTTTAACAGAAAATGCAAAGATAATAAATTCTTATTTGAAAGCATATTCTATATAATTGAACACATAGGATAACAGGATCTAGAGCTGTAAGTGATCTTAGGCCAAATACCCATTTTACAGACACCAACCAGAGGTTTCTGCTTAAGTGACTTGTCTGCTATGCTGCCTCCTTGTTCTATATCTATATGTATGCATGTAAAGAAAATGTCTATTTTCCAGATGGAACATTGGTATTTCTGGTAAGAAAATTAATGCATGTGGAAAAACTCAAAACATTGTTTACTTAAGACTATTCACATTTTCCCTCTTTTAAATAAACCAGCCCCTTCAATTTGCACTCTAGATCATAGGTTTTAAAGCCGAAAGGGGCTGGAAATACTTAATTTAAGGGGGAGAAAAAGTAGAAATAAACCTTTATATGGTGCCTATTACATGCCAGGCACTCAGCTAAAGTGCATTTATACTTTAGAAAACTTAGCAAAAAATTCCAGTCAGATTGTATGATTAAGTTACATTAAGTAGAATCTGAACAGCAAACTTTATTGTTATTTACTTACTAAAGTGTACAGTGCTAATCATTCCACACAGCTTGTGCTTACTCAACTTTACAATTAAGTAATTTATCCATAACATTTCCATCTACTCTAGGATTTCTTTAAGGTAAACATGATCCAACTTTACAATTAAGTAATTTATCCATAACATTTCCATCTACTCTAGGATTTCAAGGTAAACATGATCCTCTCTGTTGCTTCTGACATTAAAACATGTAACCTTTCAATTTTCATAACTCTCATGACGTTACACGACTGCATACATAGCTCACACACATTTATGTATGAAGTGTTTTCATGTTACACTATTCAGAATATTTTGTGATTAAAAGAAATACTTTTGCTTACAAGGAGATAAGGCAACAAACTTAAATTTTCATTAGAAAATCAAGATGAATTCTACAACTTTTCGCAAAGTTAAAGGCGGCATAAAAAGGTCATAACTGATCCAACAAGGCGTGTCTTTTTCAGTTTTACTCCATTCAAACTCGAAATATATTTACTTAGTATAAACTTTAGTAGCACGATTCTACATGGTCATCTTTTCACTCCTCTAAAGAACTCAGGTATTTTTTCTAACCGCCCCCTCCCTCCCCCCGGACCTGTGGCCTTTTTGGATCCAGAGACTTCAAGTTAACTATATCAGATACATTTCTCCCCAAAGTCCCCACCAAACATTAACCAGCGTTTAGGAAAGTTGAGGAGGGCGAAAGAGAGAACTAACTATCGCAGTCTTCTTCTAAGGGCCCCAAGCATGTTTCCCTTCGAGTTTTTTTTTCTCGTTTTTCTATTTGGTCTTTCCCAATTGTGATGTCGCCTTAAAGGGATGAGTCCCTTAAAGGGAGGGGGGAGAAGGGCTCTAGAGCCCTGGGCCCCGGCCCGGGCACTGCGGGTCCACTTCCTTGATGCCTGCTTCCCAACCTCTACAAACTGTTGCTCCTCCTCAAAAGTTGGCATTGGGGTCGAGGGCGGGCCATCTCCCCGGAGATCCCGCTTCTCCGAAGGATCCCCCCCATCCCTAGGCCAGGCCCCGGGGGCAGGGGGGGGGGCGCTTCAGAGCCGGCGTTTCCCGATCCCCGGAGCCCCGAGCCGAGGGCAGCGGGAGGTGGCGACGAGGGGCGGGGTGTTTTCAACTAAATCTGCTCCCTCACCCCCCGCGCGCACCGGGGCTTGTCCAGGGGAGCACGGCGAAGAGGCCCGGCCTGATCCGCGGGCACTGGGCCTGGCCGCGGCTCGGCTCTCGCTCCCTCCCGCAGCGGGCCCGGACGCTCGGCGCCCCGAAGGCGGGGAAAACTGGGGCGGGGGGGGTTCGGCAGGGTCTCTCACCTCGAGCTCCTCCGGGAACAGGGACGGGCTGGGTGGCCCAGGGAGGGGAGAGGGTTAGGGGAAGGGGGACGGGGAGAAGGGGGGACACCCCTCGCCCGGTGTGAGGGGAAGTCCCTCCTGCCGCCTCTGCTTCTACCGCCTCCTCTGCCGCCGCAGCTTCCTCCTCCTCCGCCGCCGCGGCAGCCGCTTGCCCGCCGCCTCCGCCTCCTCTCCGATTCACTCAAACAAACAAGATGGCGGCGGCTATGGCCGCGGCTCTTCCTGCCGCCCAAACCCTCCGTTCAAATCGGCAGGATGTTTACGGTCAAAATGTTCCCCGGGCGCCTGCGCCGCCAGCCGAAGCCTACGCAGGCAACTGCGCAGGCGCGTGCTCTCTTTCCTCTTAGCCCGGATTCTATCCCTCCCCTTCCCGATTGACGGAACAGATAGGCTGAGCATGCGCCAGTAAGGCCGCGCAGTTAGGCCAGAGCTTGGGTGACCTCGCGCATGCGCTGCGGTTGCAGACGTGGAGCGTGAATATGTTTCTGTATTATTTAATTTATCGGTGGTGGGTTTTTTTTTCTTCAAAGAGAACACGACTGTTTCGGGACTGAAAGTCAACACGTGGTTGTCAAACTAAGTTATAATTTAGTTGTGAAGCAACAAAGTTAAATTTTTTCTTCTCTGTCACTATAACTCCAAATATAATAATTAAGTTCACTTAAGTTAAAATATTCTAATAAAGTTAAGCTTAGACAAACGAAAAAAAGTTATGCCATCAAAAAAGTTTAAATCTCCAGAGGCCCATTTCCAAGTTAAACTATTCCTCTTGAGGCTTTTTACTTGCTCTGCCTCCACACTAACATAATTGGTTATATTTTATTTGAGATTAAATTATTCTAAAGGAGAAGTTAAACATAACCTGGGAGACTTGGGGCAAGTCTAGTATTTTGCTGGAAATTATATGAGGTTTTGAACCCCTAAAAGGACTAGAAAGAGCAGATATGTTTTTCTAAAAGAGCCATCTAAAAGTGGAACAGGCTGCATGTGGTAGTGAGCTCCCCATCACAGGTGCACAAGTATTTTATTATTTATTACTGTCAAGGATATTAGAAAGAATATTTCTGCATGAAGTATGGGGGTTGGACTAGAATTCTAAATTCTCAACCAAGGCCAAGTTGATAGCAGAGGCTGATATAAAATGATAACAATATTGTTAATAGATATTGATTGATTGGATAATACTAATTCCAATATACATGTTTTATCCTATTTTTTTCACTACTTTTTCTAGGATTTACACTATTTTGTGAAACTACCACGTATCAGATCAGATAACTCTCACACAGTACTATCCAACTTTCTTTGATTCTGTGTACACTGAGCAGCAAACAATAATTTTCATTTACATGGCACCTTTATACCAGAAAAAGAGTGTTTTGGAGACTATCTGGTCAACTAGAAAGTCATGTCACCATTGTAAATTAATAGATTGGCACTCTTTACAAGTCAGTCTTTTGTAAGTTTGGTTAGTATAAATAATAATAACTGATAGTCATCAAGTATAGTATAGTGAAGAGAGTACTGACTTTAGAGCCAGAGCATCTATGTTCAGCGCTGGCCTCTGATACTATTTGTGTGGCCCCAGGAGAATGTTTCTTAACTTCCTTTGGCTTCAGCTTTCTCATCTTTAAAAATGAAGGTTTTGTCATACTGGAGAGCAATTTGTAACTATGTCCAAAAGGTTATCAAGCTATGCGTACCCTATGATCCAGCAATACCACCACTATTAGATCTGTATCCCAAAGAGATTTTTTTAAAAGGGGTGGGGGAGAGGGGGGAGAGAAGAACCTATTTGTACACAAATATTTATAGCAGCTCCTGTGGTGGCTAAGAATTGGAAATTGAGGGGATGTTCATCAGTTGAGGAATGGCCGAACAAATTGTGATTTGTTGAAGTAGAGAGGTTTTGACCCCAGAAAGAGCAGAGTACAAGATGGGTTCTGTGGAATGAATTCACAGACTCAAGCATTCTTTGAGTCAAGGTGGCAAAGATTTATTGTTAAGCTGTACAGCAGGCAGAGGTCCTTAAGGAATTCTGCCATGGTGGGTAGAGCTCCTTAGGGCACTTAACAACCTAACAGGAATGATGCTAAAGCTTATGTAGGAAAAATAGTGAATTGTGTGGCAAGTATGCTAATTAGGTGATAACATACAATTAAGCCATTCACTACTGGAAACTGGGGAGTGGAGGGATTTCCTAAGGGATGTGTTTTTGGTCTGTTATGTCTGAAACAAGGTAGTTTCAGGAATTGATGTCTATAACTTGACCCCTGGATCATACACAATAACTGGGAATCAGTACATGATAGTTTTGTTGATATAAGATAGTACAAGGAAAATTCTACAGAGGTCAGCTTGTTCTTGTAACAGGGAAAGATAGTTTGCCTCACTGGGCCCACTTGTGAGTTATTGCCAGAGATAGGGTCCTTGCGGCTGGAGGGAAACTGTCAGAGCTAGGGAGAAATATGGTCTTGGAATTGAGGTCCCAGTACAAGCACCCAACCACCCCATCAGTATATGATTGTAATGGGATATTATTGTGCCATAAGAAATGAGCAGGATTGATTTCAGAAAAACCTGGAAGGATTTACATGAACTGATAAGAGAGTGAAGTGATCAGAACCAGCAGTATTGTTGAATGAAGATTGTGAATACCTTAGCTATTTCTCAGCAATGAAATGATCCAAGACAATTCCAAAGGACTCATGAAAAATACCATCCACCTCCAGAGAAAGAATTGATGGAGTATAAATGCAGATCAAAGCATACTATTTTTCATTCAAAAGGGAAAGTCCAGGGACTATGCCATGAACATTTTGAGGAGGGAGAGAGATCATTTCCCTTCAGAAGGAAACTCTGGAAGGTTTGAATTGGAGATGGCATTTGAATTAGGGTTTTAAAGAAGGAAGACAGGAAATTCAACAGAAAGAAAGGGAGAGCAATCTATTTGAAGCATTCAAATTAATGTAATCAAAATTATTAATTTTGTGGTCATAACTTTATCTTCTGCTTGGTCACAAATTGTTCTGTTCTCCATAAATCTGACAGGTAAACTATTCCTTGCTCTCTCAGTTTGCTTATAATAGCAGCCTTTATATCTAAAGCATGAACTCATTTTGAATTTATTTTGGCATATGGTATAAGATTTTGGTCTATGCCTAGTTTCTGTCATACTCTTTTCCAGTTTTCCCAACAGATTTTGTCAAATAGTGAGTTCTTATCCCAGAAACTGGGATTTTGGGATTTATCAAATAGCAGATTACTGCAACAAGACACCTCAATCCTTGAGCAGGATTTTTCCAATATTATGGGATAAATTCCTATGCTTCCTATATTATTTCTGCCTCTGGTAATGAATTTTGTGCAAAATCGTATTGATTCTACCTATATTACATCTTTTGTATACATATCCTTCTTTCTACTCATATTAGAAGCTAGTTATTTGCATTTGTAAAATTTAAATGATGCTTGTTATGTGCCCAGCACTGGGAATACAAAGAAAGGAATAAAACAATACTTGTCCTCAAGGAGCTTACAATTGCAGCAGGAAGACAATACATAAAAGGAAGTTGAAAGGAGAGCCAGTTGGGAAATGATCTGAAGAAATGTGAGTTTCTGAATGGATTTCATTTTCCAGAATGATGAGTTTTTGGAGGTGATGGAATCCTGGAAGGTACCCTTTGCCTGACCAATTGAAACTTCATAGATAAGGATATTTCTAGGCCTAAATAGCCTCATAGCACCTGGGATCATTGATTAGATACTTCTAATCCTCCCTGCTAGCTGACATCTTGCTAGCTAGCCTAGAGTAAATTGGGAAACTTTCCAACCCCATATTCTCATCCCTTCCATCAATTTACTGAACTCAAAGAACCCAAAGTATAGCTCTGGAAGAAGAGGTAATAGCTAATACCTTGCTCCCTGCTAAGGGATGTGCTAGCTCTAACCAGCTTATAAGAGCCCATTGTTAAATTTCAGAGTTAGCCTTTAAACATTGGAAATTGGCAAACACTACATACAGATCAAGGCTTGATCTAAAGTTTTGTTGATTGTCTGAAATTTATAGTGATAGGGAAAATTTTAAGAATGCAGATAAAACTTGAAAACAGTGTTATGGGCACATTTCTTGGCCTCCCCCCAAGATTGTTCTCTGTGCCCACCAATCACTGCGTTAGAACACCACAGAAGGAGGGAGTATCCCTAACAAGGTGCAGCACAGTGGATAGAATGCCAGGCCTGGACTGAGGAAGACCTGAATTCAGATCCAGCTTCAATTAACTGTGTGACCCTAGGCAAGTCACTTAACCTTGTTTGCCTCAGTTTCTTCATCTATAAAATCAGCTGGAGAAGGAAATGGCAAATCACTCCAGTATTTTTGCCAAGAAAACCCCAAATGGGGTCATGAAGAGTCAGACACGACTGAAACAACAGAATAACAACAACATTCCTGACATGGTCAGAGACTGATCTTTTATACGAAAGGGGGAAAGTGGGATGTCATATATGGAACTCCTGTACTCTCACCTAAGTAGCTAGATTTCACAGTGTTTAGAGCATTGGCCCTAGGGTCAAGAAAACCTAAGTTCAAATCCAACTTCAGATACTTACTAGCTGTGTGACCCTGGGCAAATCACTTAACCTCTGTTTGCCTCAGTTTCATCAACTGTGAAATGGAGATATCAAACCTACCTGGCACATAGTAGACACTATATAAATTTCTTTCCTTCCCCACCCTATTCTGGGTATAGATTTCCTGACATCATATCCCATCTGGCTGCTTTTCTAGACTTCATGATCTCCAGAAACTCATCATTCTGCAAGATGAAATCAACTCGGAAACTCTCACTTCCTTTGATTATTTACCCCCCTGGCTGCAAGACTTCATCATGCCCTCAAATCAAGTATCTTTCTCCCCCTGCCCCTGATCCTTCTCAGCTTCTTTTTATGTAGTACTCCATTGGATTGTGAGCTTCTTTGTATTCCCAGTGCTTAGCATAGTATCTGGCACATAGTCAGTGCTTAATAAATGTTTATGGAGTATTGACTGTGATTTGAAGGACCTTAGTACCCCCTTCCCATCTCTGGGTGACTGTAATAAATCTCTTTTTGATACATTAGTCCTCTTTGGGCTTCCTCCTTTTCCCCTTGGTGAGGGTGATGAGGTGCCAATTATTCACTCATTTGTAGAAACCTTTGCTTCCAAATATAGGAACTTCCAGTGAGAGCCCTCAGCTACATTGAGTGACCCTAATCTATCTCCCCATCTGAAAGTGTCCTCTCTATGCTCAACATACTTTATTAGGTTTCTCTTTTGCTCTTTAAGGTACACAGTGATTTTGTTCCT